TGTTGTCCCGCATCGGCTCTTCCACAGGTTTAGGGTTTGTGAGTTTTGGGTTTCGGGTAATTCATTAGCAATCATAAAGTAAATGCCGGAGCTACTTGCAGTATCATCCAAGACTTCGTCACCACGAAAATTCGTGATAGGATGGGCTTCCTTGGCACAGGTGCAAAACAGATAAAATTGAGCCAAACCCGCATGATGGTGTTCAGCACAAACGTCTCAGGCCCTTCGAAAAAGGAAGCACGTATGCAAGTCCGACACCCTCGACTCCTAAACCCCGATACTGACATTGCTTCAGCCGTTGTTTCGCAGCTCCCTATCCTCACTAAAATTCAGCACCCAACATGTTAGACACCGTTGGATAGAAGTCATAAATTCCCTGACGCGTGTCCCAAAAAAGCCCACCCCCACACATTGGCTTCAGATACAAGAAAAACCAAAGTAAGCACAAAAGCCCACCTGCGAGGAAAGTACAGGTCGCCATTTATGAGTTGGAGGCTATCCAGGTGAAGTACACACGCGCGAAAAGTCAACTGGAAGCTTGTCATGAAGTTTCTTTTCGGGTGGATTCGAGTTGAAGGTTCTGTTTGATGAGTCTTCATATCAACGATCTTACGACTCAGGTTCTACATTCGGGGTCGACTATGCGGTGACACCCCCCGTAAATGGACCTCAAACATCCTTTCAAGTCTTGTGTGCATTATGGCATGGGGCTCTTCGGGCTTTGCAGTTTTGAAATTCGGCTTTCCAGGTCAGCCCCTGCCCATACCTCTCGGCTCGTGGTGTAGAACCGGTATTCCAGAACCAGTATACAGAGCCGTATAGACTTAGGGTTTAGTTGCAGTCGGTTGCCCCATAGGCCGGCCGACCATCAACACGACAGTTTCAGCTTTTGGGACGCCTTTCAGGTTCTGTCCGGCTGGCTATAGGGCTTGCATGGGTGTTGCAAAAAAATTCATAAAGGCTTATAGGGTTTGCACATTTTCCTGACACTTCCGTTTATCTTGCAAAACACACGAATGACCCACGCTACAATTTCGCAACGCACAAGCCCGACATACACAAGCAAAGCCAGAGCCCGGAAGCCTAAAGGCGCTGAGGTGTTATGTCCTGCTGCGTGGGGTTTGACATGCTGACTGATGTGTCGTCCGAGGACCCGCAGGTGCTCCATTTTCATGATTTTAATGACATCCTCATGAAGCGTGCCGAGACAAGCAAAAAATGTAGATCTCTTCAATCCTGACCAGTAGAATACGTAGTCAAAATACTCAGAACCCTCATGGCCACACCGAAATTTCAGTCTGACATGCAGACCGCTTTGCCCAGGCCGCTCCTGCTAAGAATGCATGACGGTTGAGGGTATAGGGCGGAGAGTTCGGGTATTGAGGCTTAGTGCTTCGGGTTTTAATTACGGCCTTTAGGGTTTGGGGTTTGATTAGGGTCCGTCGAATGCATGCCAGCTTGGATTCAAAACGAACGGCTTCGGGTTTAGGGTAGTGATGCAGAGGCAAAAACCAATGTAAACCAACTCCTTCCGAACGCTACACCTTAAAACTCTGCTTCAGGAAGGCCTCTTCATTTTTGTCATGGTGGCGACTCTTTCGCTGGCACCCTTCTTTCTTTGGGTGCAGCCACTGAGCCAGACGATGATAGCTGTGAAGAAGGCGGAGATTGGGGGGGTGAAGTAACGGTTGATGATGTAATGGGCCGAACTAGTTACCAATACTACTCTTAGGGTACCTTATTATAATAGTGCGATGAAGGAGCCCAAAACCCTATTCTAATTTTTAAGGCCCCTACATTAGTGTGTGTTTGGTATTTTGTCCGTTTCCTGGACCCCCGTCCCCTGGACTTGGGGACTTTCTTTTGCTTATTGGATCCTTAAGGGAGGGTGGCTCAAGGGGGGAGGGTCCTGGGAAGCTTTAGGGAACCTAAGGGAGTACTAGGGAGAATTGGGGATTACTGGGTTATATACCCCCCTTAGACCCCCCTCCCTTAAGGATTCCATAATTTGCGCAGGGCTCACGCTGAAACCCCCGGAACCTCCCAAGACCTTAAGAGGTTGAACGCTGAGGTTAGTGGGTTCTTAATGTAGGGGCCTTAATAACCAGAATAGGGTTCCTTTTAAAGAGGTCCTATACAGGTTACTCGAAGGGGTTCTATAAGTACTGCTTTGGGTTTAGCCTAAACCCAAAACCCAGAACCCTAAACCTAATCATAGTACCATATACCCCAAAGCCTTGTTTCTAATGATTTAGGCCCCTACATGACGATCTCTGGGCTGGTCCAGGATTCAGAGCTTCAGGTTGTAGGATTTAGAGAGCATGGGTTTTAGGGTTTAGGGTTTAGGGAACTTGGAGGCACTTCAGAGAGACCTCGTTCAAAAAGGGTTTCGGGATCTCGGACTTGGGTGTTTCCTCAACTTGGAGAGGGGGTGGGGTGAGGCGCTGGAAAATCAGCAGGTTTCGATTGAGAGGTCTTGCAGGGTTCAAAGGCTTTGTGTGTTGTGTGGGTTATCGAGTTCTACAAGGCTTCAAAAGCCTAATATGGGGGTTTAGATAATTACCAATACTATTTTTGGGGTTGCTTTAAAAAGAACAATTAGGGTATAATATACCCCAGAACCCTATTNNTTATGAAGGCCCCTACATTAGACCCTGAACGTCCAGCAGAAGCATGCAATGTTTCTTCCTCCTGGGGAAGTGGGAGTTTCCAAGAAATGCTTTACCTAAGGGCACTACTTTTTATAATGTTGTAGTGTCCCTCATGGTCTGAAAGCTCCCGTATAGGTTTCAGAAGAGGGTTTTTAGATTATAAGTCGGTTCGTCCCTTTGCAGGAGTACTGCGCGAACAACCAGGATTTCGTGATGGCTTTCAATGAGGACGTCTGAAGAGGGAACCTCGAGATTGGACCAGGGTCTCGGACCCATCTCCCCTATATCTTACCTAATATATGGGGGGCCTAATTTCCTATGCTTTTTTTTTTTTTTTTTGGNNGGGGGGGGTTCCTTGTTGTAATTATAGTATAAATATAATTGGCCCTAATTATTAAGGCCCCCCACATTAAGCAGCCCCAGGGAATCCGAATGCTAAGCGTTCATGCAGGTTTTGATCTGAAGTACAACCACCCAAATCTCAGATTTTTAAAAGAGACCCCGAGCCTTCACCCACAACAACCCTTAAGGACACCCCTGTACCTATACAGAGGGTTACCGCTCCTCAAACTTATGGTCTCGATAACCCAGTATAATGTAAACTTGGTAACCGAGTCGTGGGGATAAAGACTGATTCTCCTAGATCTGCCTGCCCTTAAACGCTAAGCCCCAAAACTCCATCCCCCCAACCTTTGAGACCCAAGGCTGGGGACCTTGAGCCTGTAGCCAACTGGGCTCAAGTTCGAATTCCTCCACTCCGCTGTCCGGGGTAGTGGCATCCCCGAAGAAAGCTGAACGACACTGAGACAAGTATGTTTGGCGCATCATGTGGATATATAATATAGACTATGTGCGAAGGTGCTGGCTGGAGTCGGCACTTTGATCGTTGGCATTGGTGCCATTGTCGGCATTCTCGGGCTTAGTCAGGCGGGACTTCATCGGAATGGGAGCTCCTTTTTGTGGCAAATAATATCAAGGATGTTATGTTTCAGGAACCTTTAACATAGCGGCTAAAATCAACAGTAATCGAAAATCCTCAGATTCCTCACTATCCTTCTAGTACAATATGTCCCCCAAAGACCGTCCTCATTATGAACTAAGGCCTCTACATGGGTAAGTGTCAAAATCCTAGTCCCTTTGCGGACCCTAGGTATTCTACTCTTAATACGGCACCCTGTAGCTTGGAAAGCCACGAGAAGCCCGAGCTTTCACTTAGTGTAAGGGCCCAAGCAATTACCTATGCTATTTTGGGGGGCTCCGTAGTATGATTATAGTAGAATGGGCCCCAAAGCCCGGTTCTAGCTATTAAGGCCCCTGTATTAAGCCCTATACCTATAATAGTCTCCATTGTAGTTCCTTTTTTTTTTTGGTTTAACCAATATTATATTAAGGATCCTATAAGGTAACCCTAAACAGGAACTACAATGGAGACTATAGGAAAACCCTAAACCCTAGACCTTAAAACCCTAAGCCCTAAACCCTAAAACCCTAAAATCCTAAACCTTAAAACCCTAAATCTTCAATCTTACATGAGAATAGGAGGCTCCTTAGTCTTCCACAACTGCAAGGCGGCATCGATCCCAGAGGATCGCATGTTGGTGGACGGCCAGTTCAACTTCGAGTTCGCAACTTAGTGCTCCTAAACCCGAAACCCTAAACCCTAAACGGTAGCAATCTCGGACACTTATTGCCACGCCTGCAGTTGCGAGTGTGTGAGTCGAAACTCTAAACGCTGCCCGCTCGCGTGACGGGATTGTGTGGAGCCTTGCCGGCCTTGTGCGAGTGTGAGAGTCGAAACCGTCTCTTTTGAGACAAGCCCATAAAAGGAGACGGGGCTTATAGGATTCAGAGTGTAGCCAACCATACGACTCTAATCTGGAACGCAGGGGGTACTTGTGCTTGCAACGTAAGAGAGCACCGAGGTTCGACCTGGGAAGCAGGAGTGGATTGTCGAGAGCATCGGGATTCGTTGAGCGTCGTCCACGTCGCCACCAATACCCCCGAGACTCTGTGGATCCACGAGTTTGGCTGTTTTCCTGAACCATTGGACTACCACGGCGTCAGCCTATCCCAACTTGAAATCTTCTATGCCAAGGACAGAGAGGGGCACAATGCCACCTTTGCAGTGACCAGCGGCTACAGAACGTGGGTCATGGATGGAACCGCCGACCTTGCCCCGCGGCTACATTTCCTCGCCCATCATGGGCGGGCCATAGCTGCTGTGATTGGCTCTGTGTTGCTGGTGGTTGGCTTGATGTTTTGCTGCCTGGCCTGCTGCATGGCAGGTCAGCAGTCGGAATCTGTCAAGGCCCCGGCGACATCCCGGGGAGCCGCACCCCTATCAAGCCAGGCAGGTATGCAATCGGCGCCGGTGGTCGTCGTTGACCAACCAAAACTTCTTCAAATTGAAAGTATTTAGGGCCGACTGCAGACCGAGTCATCTTGAACTACGTCTGCGGTTTTGCTTAAGGGCGAACCCTCGCTGCAGGTTGCCTCTGTACAAGCTGCCACTTTCTGGAGTGTAACACATACTCCAGTCGTCATACTGCAGCTGTGCTCTCTGACTTCAGCCTGCAATGCGATATAACATGATAGAACCCTATTTCCTGATGAACATAATTCCATTCTTATAAGGGCTGATATCAATGTTCCGGAGATTTCAAGCATGAATCCAGATAATAAATTCACTATCAAGCCTTTATGATTGCATTCTTTCATAATTACTTATAGAAATGCGAAAAGTCTCGTCCTAGCTAAGTGGCAGGCAAGAAACCCTATACCCTAGACCCTAAACCCTAAACCCTACCCTGAACCCCAGACCCTACACAAACCTTACCCTAGACCCTAAACCCTAAACCCTACTCTAAACCCTAGAACCTAGACCACAAACCTTACCCTACACCCTAAACCCTACCCTAAACCCTAGACCCTAGACCACAAACTTGACTCTAAACCCTAGACCCTAAACCCTAAACCCTAGACCACAAACCTTACCCTAAGCCCTAATCCCGGCACTTTGGACCAGCAGGGCATGGGCAGGTGGAGGCCCGCGCTTCAGACTGTAAGGGTTTGAGGGTTTAGGGTTTCAGGGTTTAGGGTTTAGGGTTTAGGGTTTAGGGTTCGGGGGTTTAGGATTTAGGGTTTAGGGTTAGGGTTTCAGGGTTGGGTTTAGAGTTTAATATGTGTGCCCGTGAAGAATTACCTACATATCAAGGGGCTAAAGGAGGGACCCTTAAAGGGACCCTTGGGGTTATAAAGGGGCTTTATGAGACTATCTAAGGGGTATATATGGGTTATATAGGGTATGTGGATTAGGGGTCCCTTCTAGGGGTCCCTCCTATTGTCCCTTAAGCATAATTCTTCGCGATTAAGGGTCTAGGGTTAGGGAGACTCAATTCAAGTTCCATATATGGGTAGTTCTCTAAATTAGGGTCCCTTTGGGGGTCCTTCTATAAGGGTGCCGTACTATATCTGGGATCTAAAAGGGGACCCTAATTTAGAGAACTACCCATATGTCTGGAAGTGTATTTTGCTTCCGCAACCTCCGAAGCCTCCTAGTTGGGTTGGCCTACAGCCGCGACCCCGGTAGCATCTACCTTAAGAACCCAAAACCTACTTTTTTGTAGGGTCCCTATAAATCACATATTAGGGTTTATAATAAGAACCTACGAAAAACTGGGATTTGGGTTCTTAAGGTGCTTCTTAATCAGTTGGAGTCTTGAGACTCGCCGCCGTTTGCGGTCTGAAAGTAGAGGGGCCAACAACAAGAACGTGAGCAGGCTGCTTAATGTAGGGGCCTGAATAATTAGAATATTCTTTTGGGGTATACTATACTAAAATTGTAAGAAGGAACCCCACCCCCCCATACTATTGGTAGTTATTTCGACCCCTCTAGTAGGCCACAGACTTTGGGGACGCTGCACCTGTCAGCATCCTGAAGAACTGATGCACAGGCGACTGCATGTTGTGCTCCCTCCTCATGTGCCAAAAACCGGCGATGGTTTAGTGAACCGCAGCACTTATAACCGGGTTGAAAAGAAAAGTCACATCACGTTTTGTCCCTAGTCCAGGGCACTTTGAGGTGGGTAGTTACCGTTATAGGAGCCTTATAGAAGATGTCTATATACCGTATAGAAGCTTTATAGAAGCCTTATATACCCGAAACTCTAAACCCTAAAACCCTAAACCCTAAACCCTAAACCCTAAACCCCAAACCCCAAACCCTAAACCCTAAACCCTAAACCCTAAAACCCTAAAACCCTAGAGTTGCCTTACTGCTAGGAAGAGCAGGCGTCCCTCCTTGGAGTTGGCCCCCCCATCCCCCCTTCGCAGCGACTCCCAACCGATAGGGTTTAGGCTTTAGGCTTTAGGGTTTGGGGTTTAGGGTTCAGGGTTTGGGGTTTAGGGTTTAGGGTTTAGGGTTTGGGGTTTAGGGTTCACGTTTGATTTGGGAAGCACAGCTGCATTGCAACAGCCAGCCACCCCACAGAAGCCAACTCAGATCCTCTCCGGAGTCCTTCAAAGCGACCGACAACGCCTACGCCTCGAGCCTCCAATCCTTGCAAACGATGTCACAGCAGGCAGCCCAACGATTTTCACCCCAAACCCGAGTAGAAGCAACACAGCTTCATCCCACTGCCAAGATAAAGATCCCCGTGTCCACAACCCTGTACAATCAGATGCCAGTCAAGAAGACCTGTCTTCTCTGGCTTTGGGGGTATGTCGCATCCTTATCTTAATCATGATCTTTCCTCTTGCTCTTGTGTTTTAACCGCCCAGTAATATTTACATAACAGTTTTGTGTTGTCATGTTTTTGAAAAATCCGCTTGCAGGTGCAAGGAATTGTGGTAAGCGTGGTGTTCAGAGGTTTGGGTATTAAACAAACAGACGGTTCATCGGCTTAGCTGCTCTGCCTTTCAGAACTTACGAGCGACCTAAACTACCTTGGTCTTCGCTACCGAGTAGGCCCACACCCCGTGCTAAACTCGCTTATGCTCGAAACCTTAGAAGCTGAACCTAAACCCCAAACAGTTCAGGGTTCAGTCCCAGAAGTGAAAGAAACACCACAGTTGATACCCGAAGCTTTCAGGAGCAGCAACTTCCGATGGGCTTTGACACCGTGCCGTTCGCAAATGTAAGCGCCGCCCGGTTGCATTGTTTGAAGTAGGGACAACTAGTCACATTATCCCCGTTTTGTCCCTACGTAATTCTACTCACCCAAATCTTTATTCGAACGATGAAGGGTTTTTCAGCCCCAGGCTCTTTCACGGTCTACCGAACGTTGCATCGTCCATCGGCCCCTTCACATGGAAGTATATCCATCTCTGCTATGCGTCATGGTTACTGCTAGTTTTGTTATTCTGTGAATTGAGAAGGCTTTTTAGCCCAGGTCGCCTTCAGCCTCGGTGAGTTGGCGGTAGGAGAGCATGCCAAGGGCAATCTGGCAAATGGGTGCCTCGTCCAGGAGGTTGTTGTGGTTTTGCATGGGTGAGGGTTTTGCGGTTTAGGGGTGGGCTCCGGCTGGAAAGGGTGGGCTCGGGGGTTTAGGCTTTCGGGTTTGGTTTTTGGGAGGGTGGGGTATAGAGTTTGGTCATCTATAGGGCTACACCTAATTTGTGGTTCAGGACTTGTGGGATTTTTTCGGGATTTTGTTTGTAGGCCTCTCCGAAGGCCCATTCACCTATGTGGCGGGTTGCCAGGCTGCAGGTACCACGATACCATAAGATTCCTCCATGTCTTCAGGCACAGTTCCCTAGTAGTAGAGTAGGTAGCCTTTAATTCTGTTGGGGTACTATTATCCCCATATGATCCCGAAGGTCAACCTTGCGTTCCCCTAGGGTACAGGACAAATATGGTTTCCAACCAAACAGGCAGCTCGGGGGGTCTGGGCTTTGGCTTGTTCCTGGGTCTTTGGGGAACGAGGAGGTGGGTTTCTTCAAGTTAGGTGCCTGCCCCACACCGGGTGCGGGGTGGCCGGGCCGGCGCGGCATTCCGCAGCCTACTTCGTTTACGGTCATGGGTCCTTCTTCGCGGCAACTCCCACATAGGTTTCTCGCTTTGTTTATCTTGGTTTGCGAATCTAGGCTTGACGGCTTTAGGAAGGGATGGACCTTGGCTTTTCAGTGGGTTGTGCTTCGAGGGTCTAAGCCCCCGATGACCGGAAGCCCTTTAACCCTAAACCCTCATCACGTCACGGGGCACAACTGTAGAACAAGAAAACTTCAGCCCTAGGCTCTTCAGCATTCTAAAACCCTCAAACCCTTAACCAACCCTAAACCCTAAACCCTGAAGAAGCCGTGAACCCTCAAACCCTGAACCCCTTTGAGCCGTCAGGGTCGGCCCTGAGGTTCGGATAATCTAGAAACCTGAATAATTGCCAATACTATTTGGGGTTCTGTATCATACTTTCCGTATGATGAACCCCCAAAACCCTATTCTGAGTATCAAGGCCCCTACATTAGGCCATCTTCTTGGGTCTGTATTGGGGGCCCTTATCTTCTGCACGCCATTTGGGATTCAGCAGCTGCCGTGGCCATGTCAGGTCCGTTTCAAAGTACATCTCCTTTGCCCCTGATGCGGACAGGGGGTTGTGGGCTGGCCTCCGGATTTCCCCTTTCCTATAGTTCCTCGTAGCCCTCGCGCCACTGTTTGACGTTGGGAGTACTGGAGCTGTCGAAGATGTGACACTCAACCCGCAAACCTGGCCCGTGTACCTTGAGCCCTCACACCAATACCAAGACATGTCGTTTGAAGATAGCATCTAAGAGCCGCACTGCGTCCCGTCTCCGGACTAGACAACAAGCTTCCGAAGTTCCAGCCTCGCCACAGTCCGACCGTGTGGAGTGTCGAGGCTTTGCGTGTGGAGCTGAATTGGGCTGTCTTACCGGGGTGCGTTCACTTTATTTGGGAAACATCTGTTTTCATGATGATGGCTTGCAGTCATGCCTGACTGTCAGCTGTTGGGCGTTATCTTAAACCATGCGCGCCGCAACATCTAAACCGCATCGTGCCCAAGCCAAAGCCCACTCCGCGCTCCAGA